TATGCTTTTACAATGTAACTTTCCACGAATGTAGTAAAGATGATGTTGTTTGTTGTTCAAATTTTCTTTTTAAATATTGTAATGTATAGAAAGAAAAATATAAATCATTTTGAACATGGTATAATTTAGCCATCATTGTTCTCCACACAGTGGCTTACCGATGAGCTGCTGAAAGCTGCTTAATGTCTGTGTTTCCAGTGTCTTAAAATTTCGGATTGTGGCTACCTGTCAAAGTTCAGAATTTCTCTTTTCCTTTTACTTAGAAACTTCCAGCTGAGAACCATCACTGTTCCCATGTTCAAATGAGAAAGAAGCATATTAGGGTTTTGAGAATGATTGAGTTAATTTATTAAAAAAATAGTGGGTTCAGCTAAAACATTTTTATCTTGCTGAAAAGTCTGTCTTCTGTCCATTAAGCTGTTGTGACTGGACCCTGCTTACATTGTAAGTCACCGAGAAACACGATGACTATGATCTGCAAGTACCTGTAGTAAACCTCCAGAGCATATAGTAGAATCATAATAACGTCTTTAAACCTTAGACTTTTATTTAATTTTTATATATTTTATAAATATGAAGGATGAATAGGCAAAGGCTGAGGAGTTCAAGCATTTGTGCCTTTATTAAAAATATATAAAAGCTGTTTCTGATATGAAGGACTCTATTTTATATCCATTTTTCATTTTTCACAGATCAGAAATTGGCTGTCTACTACCTGTAGAATAAGATTCTATGTATATATATATTTATAAAAAAACAGTATGCTGCACATTTCAACTATTCTTGATGGGTTTCTTCCTTTGTTTTCCAGTTTGAGTACTTGCGTTCAGTATATTTTTGTAAAATACGGAAAAATCGTGGGTTTTTTTAATATTGAGATTTGGACTATTGACTGAATTTTGAGTCCAGGAAAAAAAAAATCCAGGTAAAATATATGTTTTGAAGGGCTTAGATGAGCTATGAATGTCCTTGATTCAGCACCTTAAGCTGAGTATACTCTCTCTTTTATTAAACATACTACATAATCTTATCTTAAAAACCAAGCATACAATTTTAGGCTTTTTTTAGAAGATTTCTTTGCTTTATAAAGTCAGTGAATGAAACTGGATTAAATAATGACAGTATTTTCCTTATCGTGGAAATTCTTTGTTTCAGAATTTAAATTTTTGTCTAAAAGTCTGAAAACTTTTTGACAGTTTTTATTTCAAGCTATCATCATTTAATTACAAAAAGGTTGGATTAACACATTTATTTATACAATGAAAAATAAGCAGTATAAAATTAAAAAAACTTAAAATCCAAGGCTATTTTGCTCCTTTGTATGACAAATTTTAAATGTTTGCTGTATTCAGTTTGTTGGCTTACAAAGAAATAGCATATACAGTGGAATCTGTCCTTACTAACACGACTGTCACCTTCTCATCCATCTCCTTAAAAATAGCGACTTGGTTTAGAAATTAAAGAACGATCCATTGTATTGTCAGTAGAATATTTAATCATTATGAAGAAACAGTGATCAACTAGCGACCAAAATAAAGTGCTGTTTTGAGAAAGCATATGCTTCATTTGCACGTTTTCATGATTCGTACGGCAGACATCTGAAGTTGCGTTACATACTAGGGCCTAGAACAAAAATATTCTCTGATATTGCTGCTGGAATTTGTGTACAGAAACGTTTCACGCAGGCCAGAAATGGAAATTAAATCATAGTCATAGCCACAAAGTTTGTGTACAGGAAATTAAAAGGACAACTTTTAAAAGAAAAGTACTTCCTTAGGGCCTTTTGGTTTATTAATCTAGAGATAGGAATCCTATATTTGCATCCAAGTTTGGCCCAAAACTTCTTTCTGAATTTAGCATTCAATAAATTACTTAAGGAATTTCCTACAAGATTTTCCACATAACGACCAAACACTTGATGTGTTTTGATTGAACAGCTGTGCTTTTTATAAGCAATGTGCTTTTCTAAGATTTAGAACCATATTTGTAATTAAAGAGAAATTCATAAACATTATTTTGCAGAATGATAATGAATCAGTGTTGACGCATTTAATTTAGCTGTGCCACTAAAGATGAGCCACAATGTAAAATCTTAGAGAAACACAGAAATTATAAAAGCAGCTATGCTTAAAATGAACTCCATGATAACCTGTAATAGGAAAAATGGTATTAAAAGGTCTTCTTCCCACTTAGCCAATTTGTTCTTTTAAGTGCGACAACCAGTAGGAATTGTGTCGGGACCCTCCCTGAAGCCTACAGCAGAATCTTACATCTTCAACAGAGCTGGATATTTTACAATTTTTATTTTACAATTATTTATTTTATATTTTATATTACAATTATTTATTTTACAATTCAACTTCACATTCGGGCTGCTCTGGCCTGGTCAGAACGGGAACATCTGTTCAAACCTGTGCACCATTCTCTGGACAGCCATCCCACCTGCACCACCTCCCCGAGGGTGACACTGGCAGAGTGCGGTACGTTTTACACAATGCCAATGAGCCCTCACAGCGGGGGGGAAGGTTTGAAAGGGCCTGCAGCGTGGTGGGATGGTTCTGATCCAAATACCTCCTCGCTCTGCAACTGAAATACCAACGCGGACACAGCTCGTGGTTCTGTCTCGGTTTCCTCACCTCTCTTCAACTCTGCGTTCCCGCCTCAGCCCCCAGCCTCAAATCGTGTGTAACCCTGTTTGTGCAGGCATCTCGCGAGCCGTTTTGGAAAGCTGCTCCAACTCCAACCTGACCTAGTTAGATACCAAAATTAATTAGTTTGTTTATTATTGACTAAAAGAGCTTTAATACCCACAGACTTCCCTCCCTTCTACCCCCTCTGAAACTAAGACTGGAACAATTTCTACTCCCCTAGAAGAAAGGCTGGGAATGCACGGCTCTCCCAAGCTCCCACGCTGCCGTCAGAAAACGCGAGGACCTGGGGAGAAGCTGCATGCACACGCAAGCACCCGCCCAACGCTGCCGTCCTGCCATGCCCCACTGGCTCCCCGATTCGCACCTGGCTGCACCCACCCTTCACTCCCACGTCCCCGCTGCTCCCTTCTCCTGCTTGTGCGTGTAAAAGGAATTCCACAATGGAAAGGCTTTCCCACAAAACTATGTAGATATTTTTAGGGATTAAGGTGAATATATCTCTATACTTAGAATCAGATTGTAACTGAATATGCCTCTATAAGGTAATAAGGCTTTGGCCCTATTATTTATAAAATTTGGCTTTTATAATTCCATTGCCTTATTACTAGATCATTTGTTAAGACCAATTCTTGCCCCAATATGCAATCAGAATTTGAAGCAAAGTTTTTAATATTGGGTTTAAATGACTTACTGTGTGTTTTTATTAATAAAATCCAAGACCTAGAGTATAGCTATACAGGCAGCTAATAGTCTCATTTTTAGCTAACCGAAAATGTATACTGAAAATCGGAAGTAAAACCTAATGCATTTGCCCGATTTATTACTTTTCCGCAAAGCAGGCAGACATCTTCTCAAATGCATGCACCTGCGCACTGCCAACGAAGCTATCTGCTCTGAGGTCTCTGCTGCTAGTTTCTTTCAAGAGCAGGATCAGGCCCTCAGTGTGGTGTTGAACATCGTTGCGAGCCACGTAACTTACTAAAAGGTGGAGGCTTTTACAAGAAAGCATTCCAGGGTGTCAAGCGGTCCCTGCGCTGTTCACAGTGCTCCAGCAGTCACAAAGCGCTGCTTCAGATGCGGCTCCTTTCCCCTTTCTTTCACACTCTGTTTTTCCTGACACGGATTCAGTTTCTTTCTCTTGACCTTCTGTACTGCTGATAAACTCAGCTTAACAGAGCCCCGATAATTGTTTTTCATTATGCATTGGTTCTGCGTAGTTCTTTCCACCTCTCTTTCTCCCATCTCTCCTTATATAAGAATTTAAGGGACAAATCCAGTTCCCACATACTACAGAGGCTCACCTTTGTGTAAGAACTTAGTGCCAAATAAATATGTAGGTACCCATCAGGAATACTGTGGCAGTGGAAAACACTGACTTGAACTAATTTATTCAAGTGCTGTCCCATCAAATCCTTCTGCAGAGGTTACTGTGAGGTTACGTTGCTGGCATAATCACGTACGGGTGCACCGTCTGGCGGAAAAATCCCACGGCTGTGTGTTCTGGTGCAGGGGACAAAACAGAGGCGAGTTGTCACGCCTAACGATAGCAACATAGCGGTCGTTGAGGGGCAGGACGAGGCCAGAACATCAGCAGAAAATTTTTATAGTTACAGTGGGCTATTGGTACTGTCTTTCCTACATTAGGTTGGATTTCACACTCCCAGTCATTCTGGGGAATATATGGTACAAAAACATTCACGATGTGAACGTAAAAGATCTCTTGAGGAACAGCTTTCAGCACTTAACATTAATGCAAAAGAAAAAAGACTTTTACTGAGGAAAGGTTATGGTTGAGAGGGTCTATACATAACATTGTGTACCAAATTTTCTCAAACCTTTCTTTAAATGTCAAGTGGAACGTGCAAGCTGCCTAAAGAACAAGGAAACTTGAAAAATTATCTACCCAGTATCATTAACAAGTCACCATGGTTTAGGGTGGAAGGGCATATTCAGAGCTGAAGAACAATGAACTCTAGCAACTGCAAATACGACCCGTGGACTAGCTCTTGGCAGCCACATGCTGACCATTTTAGAACTGCCTTTTTTGCCTATTTTGAAAAACAATTCTACATACAGACCAGTTAGGTGGTCATTCATACACCTATCGATATCAGTGGTAGAAGATTCCCTAAGATCAGATATTTGAGAATCTCACTCAAAGTAGATAGTCTGAAAAAAATATCTTATCCATGTAGTTTCCACTTTTACAAGCAGTTGTTGTATGAAGAATGGGGAAATTGAAAAGCTGCTTCTGTTGCATTCTAGAGAAAACCAGTAGTGAGTGATATTAAAGCTTCATCGCTAGAAATGCTGAATACACGGAAAGCGGTTATGTTTTGGGGAGTGTTCTTTTGATTAAGGTGGAATGTGCCATGCACACTTAATTTAATGAGGTTAAAAAAGAGAGGGCTCCTGCTGATGTCTTGAAAATCGCCCCATTAATAAGGCCTCCCTTTGCGCTCAGTGATTACAAACTGCTCTGGAAAAAAATGAGTATATCTGCTTTGTAAAAGAGCTGACTGGGCAGCAGCTGACTTGTGGCATTTACAGCTAAAATAGCACTCGGGTGATACACCCATGCACGCTCTGTCCGTGTGTGTGTGTGTTTCTCAGAGAGAGACTGATTCAGTGTTTTGGGATCAGGGGTTGCAGCAGCTTTTGATTTAATACAACTGTCTTTGAGTCTGGTTATCATAAAAGCTCCAAAATGGTATTTTTCTGGTGAGATTAAGCCTGCCTTGTTTACCAGAATTTCTAAATAAAGCTCTAATCAAAACAGTATTCCTTTTTTCATGATTCAAAGTTCAGTTGCATACGGGTTTTAGGAAAAATAAGGAACAACACATCAAAGAACAAGATGCTATCTCAAGACAGAAATTATTATATGATGATGGCATGTAAGCAAACACAGCAAACGATGTGAGTGTTGCTCATTTTTATGGTACGTATATACAGCGGCACTAATCTTTATTTACTCTATAATTGCTTTGGAAATAATTTCCGAACAATTTTTATTATCTTATGATGCTGATTTGATTTCAAAGAGCACAGTGAAAAAATAATTTCCGATTAGAAAGGTTAATTTGGGGAAGGTTAGGGCACTGGCAATTACACCAAGATGAGTTCACCTTTGTATTCACCACTTCAAATCTGGCCAAAGGCAGATGTCACCCAAGTTTTTGTCTCTTGCGCAGCAGCCCTTGGGAAACAAACCGGTGGTCCCACTGCTACGTACTCTTGCCTATTCTTTGTTTATAGATGTGTGCACTGGTAACTCTGTCTGGGACCTCTGCACAGAGGCCAACAGCTTGACAAGGAGCATCAGAACTTCTGCCCCAGGGAGAAGTTCTGCCCCACGGAGGTAAACGCGGATCCTCGCAGTGACTCCAGCAGCGAGACGAGGCCGGCGCCTGTTTCTCTGGCGGGACTCATCTCCCTCTGCTAGATCGGGGACACTCACGGGCGAGGAAACTGGAGTCACGCTGGGCAGCGACCGCAGGGCTTCGGAGACCAGTCTTATTCCAAAGCAGTCTGATTTAACCCTTTTCATGTAAAATCTAAAACTAAAAAAATACCTGTTTTGAGTCTAGCTAGCCTGTTAAAAGGACACAGCGCAGTACTTCATGCCAGTGGTTTTGATCGTATGTTACCAGCACTCCCCAGAGACACACTCTGGTATCAGTCTGCAGCGCCCAACTGGAAAGGATCTCCTCAAGGCCAGTTAAAGCAGTGCTGCTGGGAGCAACTTCCAGCTAAAGCCCCACAGACACAGCTCTTCGACGCAAACCGAGCTGAGGAGCATGCGCCTGCAGGGGGTTTCGGACGGGTGCATCCTCCAGCGCCGCTGGGCTCGGATGGGGTTGCTGCGTTGCAGCCCGGTGATTCGGCAGGAATGGTTCGGCCACTTCCCACCCGCAGACGCCTCC